AAATTGGGAGAAAAATGGGGGAAATGTGGGGAAAAGTGGGAAAAAATGGGGGAAAATTGGGAAAAATTTGGGGAAAAATTGGGGGAAAAAGGGGGAAAAATGGGGAAAGAATGGGGGGAAAATGGGGAAAAATGGGGAAAAAATGGGGAAAAATTGGGGAAAAATTGGGGAAAAAATGGGGAAAAATAGGGGAAAAATGGGGAAAAAGATGGCGGGAAATTGGGGGGAAAATGGGGAAAATTGGGGGAAGGAATGGGGAAAAATTGGGGAAAAATTGGGGGAAAAATGGGGGAAATTTGGGGAAAAATTGGGGGAAAAATGGGGAAAAAATGGGGAAAATTGGGGAAAAAATGGGGAAAAAATGAGGAAAAATTCAGGGAAAAAATGGGGGGAAATTGGGGAAAAATTGGGAAAAAATGGGTGAAAAATGGGGAAAAAATGGGGGGAAATTGATGAAGAAATGAGGAAAAAAAGGAGAAAAAATTGGGGGAAAAATGGGGAAATTGGGGAAAGAAATGGGGAAAAAAAGAAGGAAAAAAGGGGGGAAAATTGTGGGGGAAAATTGTGGAAAAAATGGGGGAAAAACTTTGAATGAATTTTGGCTGAATTTGGGATAAATTTGGGATGAATTTGGGCTGAATTTAGGATGAATTTGGGATAAATTTGGGATGAATTTTGGCTGAATTTAGGATGAATGTGGGATAAATTTGGGATAAATTTGGGATGGATTTGAGATAAATTTGGGATGAATTTGGGATAAATTTGGGATAAATTTGGGATAAATTTGGGATGAATTTTGTGATGAATTTGGGATAAATTTTGGTTGAATTTAGGATGAATTTGGGACAAATTTGGGATAAATTTGGGATTGATTTGGGATGGATTTGGGATGAATTTGGGATAAATTTGGGATGAATTTTGGCTGAATTTAGGATGAATTTGGGATAAATTTGGGATAAATTTGGCTGAATTTAGGATGAATTTGGGATAAATTCCGAATAAATTCGGGACAAATCCCCTGACAAATTTCACCATTTCCCCTCCCTGATTCCAGAAACTTCCCTGGGAATTCCCCGCCCCCCCCCGGGATTCCCGCTGGGATTTTTGGGGGGGATTCTGTGGATTTTGGGGGATTTTTGGGAATTCTTTGGGAATTTTCAGGCTACGAGCTGTCCAAGCTGGAGAGCACCGTGGGCTCCCCCGAGAAGCCGCTCTCGGACCTGGGCAAGCTCAGCTACCGCAGCTACTGGTCCTGGGTGCTGCTGGAGATCCTCAGGGACTTCCGGGGGACCCTCTCCATCAAGGACCTCAGGTGGGACCAGTAAAAACCAGTTTGGACCAGTTCAGAGCCAAAAATCCCCATAGAAATCCATGGAAATCCATAGAAACCAGTATAGACCAGTATAGACCAGTATAGACCAGTATAGATCAGTGACCCCCTGGTTCCTCAGGGACTTCCGGGGGACCCTCTCCATCAAGGACCTCAGGTGGGACCGGTTCAGACCAGTTCAGACCAGTTCAAACCAGTTCAAACCAGTATGGACCCAAAAATCCCCATGGAAATCCATAGAAACCAGTATAAACCAGTATAAACCAGTATAGACCAGCATAGACCAGTGACCCCGCTGGTCCTGGGTGCTGCTGGAGATCCTCAGGGACTTCCGGGGGACCCTATCCATCAAGGACCTCAGGTGGGACCAGTAAAAACCAGTTCGGACCAGTTCAAACCAGTTCAGAGCCAAAAATCCCCATAGAAATCCATGGAAATCCATAGAAACCAGTATAGACCAGTATAGACCAGTATAGACCAGTATAGATCAGTGACCCCCTGGTTCCTCAGGGACTTCCGGGGGACCCTCTCCATCAAGGACCTCAGGTGGGACCGGTTCAGACCAGTTCGCACCAGTTCAGACCAGTTCAAACCAGTTCAGAGCCAAAAATCCCCATAGAAATCCATGGAAATCCATAGAAACCAGTATAAACCAGTATAAACCAGTATAGACCAGTATAGACCAGTATAGACCAGTATAGACCAGTGACCCCCCCCTGGTTCCTCAGGGACTTCCGGGGGACCCTCTCCATCAAGGACCTCAGGTGGGACCAGTTCAGACCAGTTCAGACCAGTTCAGAGCCAAAAATCCCCATAGAAATCCATGGAAATCCATAGAAACCAGTATAAACCAGTATAGACCAGTATAGACCAGTGACCCCCCTGGTCCTGGGTGCTGCTGGAGATCCTCAGGGACTTCCGGGGGACCCTCTCCATCAAGGACCTCAGGTGGGACCAGTTCAGACCAGTTCAGACCAGTTCAGACCAGTTCAAACCAGTTCAGAGCCAAAAATCCCCATAGAAATCCATGGAAATCCATAGAAACCAGTTCAAACCAGTTCAAACCAGTATAGACCAGTTCAAACCAGTTCAGACCAGTATGAACCAGTATAGACCAGTGTGGATAAAGGCAGTGTGGGGCACTGTGGGCTGGAAGTGGTCAGGGGTCACTCAGGGGTCACTGAGGGGTCACTCAGGGGTCACTTGGGGTCACTCAGGGGTCACTCAGGGGTCACTCAGGGGTCACTCAGGGGTCACTCAGGGGTCAGGGGTCACTCAGGGGTCACTCAGGGGTCACTCAGGGTCACTCAGGGGTCACTCAGGGGTCACTCAGGGGTCATTGGGGTCACTCAGGGTCACTCAGGGGTTACTCAGAGGTTACTCAGGGGTTACTCACACGTTACTCAGCCAGATGGCGAGCATCACGCAGACCGACATCATCAGCACGCTGCAGTCGCTGAACACGGCACTGTCAGGGACACAGGGTGGGTCAGTGATGGGTCAGGGGTTACTCAGGGGTTACTCAGGGGTTACTCACAGGTTACTCAGGGTTTACTCCATGGTTACTCAGCCAGATGACGAGCATTACCCAGACCGACATCATCAGCACGCTGCAGTCGCTGAACACGGCACTGTCAGTGACTCAGGGTGGGTCAGGGATGGCTCAGTGATGGGTCAGGGGTTACTCACAGGTTACTCACAGGTTACTCACACGTTACTCAGCCAGATGGCGAGCATCACGCAGACCGACATCATCAGCACGCTGCAGTCGCTGAACACGGCACTGTCAGTGACTTGGGGTGGGTCAGTGATGGGTCAGGGGTTACTCAGAGGTTACTCAGGGTTTACTCCATGGTTACTCACACTCAGCCAGATGACGAGCATTACCCAGACCGACATCATCAGCACGCTGCAGTCGCTGAACACGGCACTGTCAGGGACACAGGGTGGGTCAGTGATGGGTCAGGGGTTACTCAGGGGCTACTCACAGGTTACTCAGGGGTTACTCACAGGTTACTCACAGGTTACTCACACGTTACTCAGCCAGATGACGAGCATCACGCAGACCGACATCATCAGCACGCTGCAGTCGCTGAACACGGCACTGTCAGTGACTTGGGGTGGGTCAGTGATGGGTCAGGGGTTACTCAGAGGTTACTCAGGGTTTACTCCATGGTTACTCACACTCAGCCAGATGACGAGCATTACCCAGACCGACATCATCAGCACGCTGCAGTCGCTGAACACGGCACTGTCAGGGACACAGGGTGGGTCAGTGATGGGTCAGGGGTTACTCAGGGGTTACTCACAGGTTACTCAGAGGTTACTCACACTCAGCCAGATGACGAGCATTACCCAGACCGACATCATCAGCACGCTGCAGTCCCTGAACACGGCACTGTCAGTGACACGGGGTGGGTCAGTGATGGGTCAGTGATGGGTCAGGGGTTACTCACAGGTTACTCACAGGTTACTCACAGGTTACTCACACGTTACTCAGCCAGATGACCAGCATCACGCAGACTGACATCATCAGCACGCTGCAGTCCCTGAACATGGTCAAGTACTGGAAGGGGCAGCACGTGATCTGCGTCACCCCCAAGCTGGTGGAGGAGCACCTCAAGAGCGCCCAGTACAAGAAACCGCCCGTGGAGGAGCACCTCAAGAGCGCCCAGTACAAGAAACCGCCCATCACCGGTGGGTAATTAACGCCCCTCGTTAATTAACCGACACTAATTAACACCCGTCGTTAATTAACCCCCGCTAAATAGTGCCCCTCGGTGGTTAAACACCGTTAATTAGCGCCCCTACTTAATTAACCCACACTAATTAACACCCCTGCTTAATTAACCCACGCTAAATAGCGCCTCTGCTTAATTAACCCTCGCTAATTAACGCCCCTCCTTAATTAACCCACGCTAATTAACGCCCCTCGTTAATTAACCCACGCTAATTAGCGCCTCTGCTTAATTAACCCATGCTAATTAACGCCTCTGCCTAATTAACCCCTGCTAATTAACGCCCCTCCTTAATTAACCCACGCTAATTAATGCCCCTCCTTAATTAACCCCCACTAATTAACATCCCTCCTTAATTAACCCACGCTAATTAACGCCCCTCCTTAATTAACCCCCGCTAATTAACGCCTCTGCTTAATTAACCCACGCTAAATAGCGCCCCTCGGTGGTTAAACACCGTTAATTAGCGCCCCTACTTAATTAACCCGCACTTATTAACACCCCCCCTTAATTAACCCACACTAATTAACGGCTCTGCTTAATTAACCAACACTAATTAACGCTTCTGTTTAATTAACCGACACTAATTAACGCTTCTGTTTAATTAACCGACACTAATTAGCGCCCCTCGGTGGTTAACTGCCGCTAACTGGCGCCCCTCGGTGGTTAAACACCATTAATTAGCGCCTCTCGTTAATTGACCCGCACTAATTAACGCCCCTCCTTAATTAACCGCCACTAATTGGTGCCCCTCGGTGATTAATCATTGCTAATTATCGGCCCTGGGTGGGTAAACACCGTTAATTAGCGCCCCTCAGAGATCAACTGCCACTAATTGGCGACCCTCAGTGATTAAACGCTGTTAATTAGCGCCCCCTCGGTAATTAACGCGCCCCTCGGTGATTAAACACTGTTAATTAGCGTCCCTCGTTAATTAACCACCGCTAATTAGAACCCTTTGTTAATTGACCGCCACTAATTAGCGCCCCTCGGTGATTAACTGCCATTAATTAGCGCCCCACGGTGATTAAACAGCACTAATTAGCGCCCATCAGGGATTAACCGCCGTTAATTAGCGCCCCCTCAGTGTTTAAATGCCATTAATTAGCGCCCCTTGTTAATTAACCGCCGTTAATTGGCGCCCCCCCCCCAGTGTGGGGGGATGGTTCGGTCTGGGGGCGCTGGGGTGAGGTTGGCTCGTTAATTGGGGGTCGTTAATTAGTTGGTTTTTCTTAATTAGTTGTGGGTAATTGGTGGGTGTTTGGTGAGGGTTTTAATGAGTTTTTGTGTAAGGGCACGCTCGTTAATTAACACAATTTAATTAATTGATAATGGCACCTCCCCCCCGTGATCACCGTTAATGGTTCGGTCCAGAAACCCCCCTGAAGTTCACCCATTAATGAACAGCCACAAATTAATTAATTACCGTTAATTATTGCAGTCTCTTTAATGAGTTTCTGTGCAGGAGAGCGCTCGTTAATTAACACAATTTAATTAATTAATAATGGCCCCTCCCCCCCCCATGATCACCGTTAATGGTTCGGTCCAGAAACCCCCCTGATGCTCCCCCATTAATGAACAGCCATTAATTAATTACCATTAATTATTGCAGTCTCTTTAATGAGTTTCAATGCAGCAGCACACTCGTTAATTAACACAATTTAATTAATTAATAACGGCACCTCCACCCCTGTGATCACCGTTAATGGTTCAGTCCAGAAACCCCCCTGAAGTTCACCCATTAACGACCAGACACTAATTAATTAATTACCGCTAATTATTGCAGTCTCTTTAATGAGTTTCAATGCAGCAGCATGCTCGTTAATTAACACAATTTAATTAATTAATAACGGCACCTCCCCCCCCGTGATCACCATTAATGGTTCGGTCCAGAAACCCCCCCATTAATGAACAGCCACTAATTAATTAATTACCGCTAATTACTGCAGTCTCTTTAATGAGTTTCTGTACAGGAGCATGCTCATTAATTAACACAATTTAATTAATTTACAGCGGCACCTCCCCCCCTGTGATCACCGTTAATGGTTCGGTCCAGAAACCCCCCTGAAGCTCCCCCATTAACGACCAGGCACTAATTAATTAATTACCGTTAATTATTGCAGTCTCTTTAATGAGTTCCTGTTCAGCAGCACACTCATTAATTAATACAATTTAATTAATTAATAGCGGCACCTCCCCCCCCGTGATCACCGTTAATGGTTCGGTCCAGAAACCCCCCTGAAGCTCCCCCATTAATGACCAGACACAAATTAATTAATTACCGCTAATTATTGCAGTCTCTTTAATGAGTTTCTATGCAGCAGCACACTCGTTAATTAACACAATTTAATTAATTAATAACGGCACCTCCCCCCCCATGATCACCGTTAATGGTTCGGTCCAGAAACCCCCCTGAAGTTCCCCCATTAACGACCAGACACTAATTAATTAATTACCGTTAATTATTGCAGTCTCTTTAATGAGTTTCAATGCAGCAGCATGCTCGTTAATTAACATAATTTAATTAATTAATAGTGGCACCTCCCCCCATGATCACCGTTAATGGTTCGGTCCAGAAACCCCCCTGATGCTCCCCCATTAATGAACAGCCACAAATTAATTAATTACCGTTAATTATTGCAGTCTCTTTAATGAGTTTCTGTACAGGAACACGCTCGTTAATTAACACAACTTAATTAATTAATAGCGGCACCTCCCCCCCCTATGATCACCGTTAATGGTTCGGTCCAGAAACCCCCCTGAAGCTCCCCCATTAATGAACAGCCATTAATTAATTACCATTAATTATTGCAGTCTCTTTAATGAGTTTTAGTGCAGGAGCTCACTCATTAATTAACACAATTTAATTAATTAATAATGGCACCTCCCCCCCCGTGATCACCGTTAATGGTTCAGTCCAGAAACCCCCCCATTAATGAACAGCCACTAATCAATTAATTACCATTAATTCCTGCAGTCTCTTTAATGAGTTTCTCTTTCAGGAACGTGTTCATTAATTACTGGCCCTTCTCTAATTAATCCTCATTAATTAATTAATCCATTAATGAGCAATAATTGCTGTTAATGCCCCGTTTATCGCCATTAACGGCTCTCGTTAATCACCCCTAATTAATCCAATTAAAGCCCTTCTCGTGTAATTCTCCTCCCCTGTTGATGTGGCCGGTTAATTATGCTAATGAGGCTAATTAGCGCTAATGACGCTGTGTTAATTGCAGTGGATTCCATCTGCCTGCGCTGGGCGCCGCCGAAGCACAAACAGGCCAAGGTGGCCAAGAAGTGAAAGCGGCGATTCCGGAAAGTTCCGGGAATTCCAGAAAATTCCGGGGGTTCCGGAAAATTCCGGGAGTTCTGGAAAGTTCCAGGAAATTCCAGAGAATTCCGGGGGTTCCGGAAAGTTCCGGGGAATTCCCAACAAATTCAGGGGGATTCCGGAAAATTCTGGGAGTTCCAGGAGTTCCAGAAAGTTCCGGGAATTCCAGAAAGTTCCGGGAGTTCCAGAAAATTCCGGGAATTCCCAACAAATTCTGGGGAGTTCCGGAAAATTCCGGGGATTTCCAACAAATTCTGGGAATTCCAGAAAATTCCAGGAGTTCCAGAAAGTTCCGAGGATTTCCAGAAAGTTCTGGGAGTTCTGGAAAATTCCGGGGATTCCCAACAAATTCTGGGGGGTTCCGGAAAATTCCGGGAGTTCCGGAAAGTTCTGGGAATTCCAGAAAATTCTGGGGAATTCCCATCAAATTCTGGGAATTTCCATAAAATTTTGGGAAGTTTCCTTCAAATTCTGGGGTTTTCTTTCAAATTTTGGGGATTTTCTTTCAAATTCTGGAATTTTCTTTCAAGTTTCGGAATTTTCCTCCAAGTTTTGGAGATTTTCCTTCAAATTTTGGGATTTTCCCACCAAATTTTGGGATTTTCCCACCAAATTTTGGGATTTTCCTTCAAATTCTGGAATTTTCTTTCAAGTTTTGGGAATTTTCCCAACAAATTTCGGGAATTTCCTTCAAATTTTGGAATTTTCCCTCAAGTTTTTGGATTTTCTTTCAAGATTTTGGGATTTTCCTTCAAGTTTGGGGGATTTTCCCACCAAATTTTGGGATTTTTCCCCCTCAGTTTTGGGTTTTTTCCCCCCATTTTTGGCTCTTCCCGAAATTCCGGGGTTTCCCTTCCCCTCCCCCCCCCATTCCCGAATTTTGGGATCCCAAATAAAGGCGGGAAAAGAGAGGGGGGAGGGGCTCCGAGTTTTTATTTTGGGCTCACTTCCCAAACTTTCCCAAAAATTCACATTTTTAACCCAAATCCGCCCCAAATTCCCGGATTTTCCCTCCAAAAATCCCATTTTCCCAAAAAAAACCCCTCATTTTCACCAAAATCTGGATTTTCCCCCCAAAAAATTCCCTTTCCCCTCCCAAAATCCGGATTTTTCACCCCAAAATTCCATGTTTTTCCCAAATTCTGGGTTTTTCCCCCCAAATTCCAAGACTTTTTCCCCCAAAATTCCACTTTTTTTCCCAAAAATGTGGTTTTTCCCTGAAAATTCCAAGATTCCACCCCAAAATTCCAGTTTTTTCCCCAAATTCCCGCTTTTTATTCCCAAAATTCCATTTTCCCCCCCAAAATTCCAAGATTTTTCCCCCAAATTCGGTGTTTTTCCCCCAAATTCCCGCTTTTTATTCCCAAAATTCCAGGTTTTTTCCCCCCAGATTCCCAATTTTTCCCAAAATTCCGTTTTTTATCCCCAAATTCGGGGTTTTCCCCCCCAAAATTCCAGGTTTTATCCCCAAATTTTGGGGTTTCCCCCCCAAAATTCCAGGTTTTATCCCCAAATTTTGGGGTTTTCCCCCCCAAAACTCCATTTTTTCCCCCCGAATTCCCAATTTTCCCAAAACTCCGGTTTTTATCCCCAAATTCGGCCTTTTCCCCCCAAGCCCCGCCCCCCTCACCCCCAGCCCACCCAGATTCCCAATTTTTCCCAAAATTCCGTTTTTTATCCCCAAATTCGGGGTTTTCCCCCCCAAAATTCCAGGTTTTATCCCCAAATTTTGGGGTTTTTCCCCCCAAAATTCCATTTTTACCCCCAAATTCCCAATTTTCCCAAAACTCCAGTTTTTATCCCCAAATTCGGGGTTTTTCCCCCAAAATTCCGGTTTTTATCCCCAAATTTGGGGTTTTCCCCCCCAAAATTTCGTTTCTTTT